GAAAGTTTCCTAATTAGGCGTTTACGTGTCAAGGGCCCTTAGAAGCCCTTTCTCTTGGCATTCATGAGGAATGAAATAGCTCCTGAGGGAAAAAGGTAAATTGTGCATATTGCATTCCTGGGTCCTCCAAAAAGAAAGTGCATTCTCAAGAGTCTCGATTGCCAAGTTCAGGCACAGTTAAGTTCCTCAGAGCTTTGCTGTCCACGAAGGGGGCGCCCCCACCTGCCAGCTGCACGGTCGTCTGCTGGAAGAGTGAGGGCTCATTGGAAGGGCATTTTACTAAGGATAACGAATTCCAACTTCTTTCTCTGTCTCTTTCTTGGTCTCTGTCCACGTACAATCATTTTGTATAGGGCGTGGGATGTTTTGGGGTAACATGGAATGAGTCCTTTCAATTTCACACAGGCTGTGGAGGTCTAAGACAGTGGGAGACAAAGGTAGATCTTTCAACAGGTGTTTTAGTCCATTTGTCTCTTTTTTATGAAAAAAAAATTGTCATCAGGTACTAGGACTTTTTCTTAACTAAAAGAGTTCTCTTGCATTAACCTAATTGTATTAACCATCTGAAGTCTGGTGCCTTAAAGCCATTTGACTTCAAAACTAAAGGGAGCAATAATGGCTAGATTCCTTTGGCTGTGGCACCATCCTTTACCCGCCTGAGAGATGGTCAACAAGAGGAGGGCAGAGCTTCCGCCCAAGTCCAAGTGCATTTCCAGCTGACTCAGACCCAGGCTTGCATAGCATCCACTTACTTTTCATAGCCCCACGGACCTTACAAGTTCAAATTCAGAGCTGTGGTGAAGCCAAGAGCTATTGTGGCCATGGGGAGAGTTTTACTATAAATTTGGGCTTCAACATGAGGATTACAGAATGAGAGAAAATCAAGTGGGAATGGGACTGAAATGGCGACCCCAATGGAGGATAGTGGACATTGAAATTACAGGAACTGAAAACCTAGAGAAGAGATGTGGGCCGTTCATTCAAGATTTATAGAGGGCCATCAGGTACCCGACACTGTGCTGAATTGAGAAGATAATGAAGGCACACACGGTCTCCTCAAGGAGCTGAGCCCAGCGAGAAATAAGACTTTGTTTTTTAGAAAAATAAATGACATTCTTAGTTGCTGTCATTTTTGAAATTTTTCCAATGGGATATTTGCAGACAATGATGACAATGATGACGATTTCTATTCCAAACTCCTCTTTCCTGGTAAAGTCACCTTACCAGACCATGTAACTGAAAGCCTTTTGGAAAGTGCCTGACAAATCAGTGTTGGCTCTCCACCAACCTGAGTGCATGTAACGGCTCAAGGTCCCCGATTCCATCTCAGTTATTTGCCCCCACAACACAAAAGCCTAGTCTCCTTGGACTTGCTCTCTTCTCTGTATCATTCAGCATTTTCATCGCGAGCCCTGCCTTTGCTTGTCCCTCCGGACGACAGGGGACACAGGGCTGCACGGGGCTTACTGGAGAACTGAGCCCCATTGAGAGCTGATCCTTTTGACCATAGTGTCCGAGTTGTCCAGCTGCCGATTAAGGAAACAGAAGGCTCTGGAGCTTTGGTTTAAGAGTCAGGCCATGGAGCTCTTTGAAGAGCTTGCACTTTAGAGAAAAACAAAGTGTGAGGCAAGTTCCAAATGCACACGCATTATGTTTAGATAGAAGAGGCAGGAATGTAAAGTGACGTGACAGATTCTTTAGCAAATGTAACAAAGCATCCCTATCTTATTGAGCGTGGTGTCTTTCAGCGCAAGTCACCGCGGGAGACAAAATACTCATCGCAACTCTGTCGCTATCGCTCAAAGCAATTTCCTTTCGGAATTGCCTTCAAAGTTGGCAGAATATTCTCTTGTATATCCTCAGTAGAAGGCATTTTACCCTTTAAGGGGAGATTTAATTTTTGTTAAAAGAGTCAAAAGCCATTTAAAGCCAAATAGGATCGAAAAAAGATCAAGTGATCAAGCTGAGTAACACTGTTTGTTGCTACAAAGTAGCGAGGCTGCCTTTGGTGCACGGGCTTACACTCCTTCTGAGGCAATTCCACAAACGCTCCCAAAATGTATTTTTGTAACAAGTTGTATTAGTTTGCCTAGGCTGCCGTAACAAAATTCCACAGACTCTGGGGGGGGGGGGGGGGGGGGGGGGGGGGGGGGCTTAAACCACAGAGATGTATTTTCTCACAGTTCCGGAGGCTGGAAGTCTGGGGTCAAGGCGCTGGCAGGGTTGGTTTTTCTGGGGCCTGTCTCCCGGGCTGGCAGGTGGCCGTCTTCTCACTGTGCCTCACTGGGTCGTTCCTCTGTGCATGAATCCCTGGTATCTGTGTGTCCAAATGTTTTCTTCTTTTAAGGGCCCCAGTCACATTGGATTAGGCCACCCTAACGGCCCCTTTTTAACTGAATCAGCTCTTTAAAGGCCCTCTCTCCAAATCCAGTCACATTCCGAGGTCCTGGGTGGTTAGGGCTTCAGCATATGAATTTTGGGGAAACACAGTTCAGCCCATAACATAAGACATCACTGAGTAACTTTCCAGGTGCTCTAATCAGAAAGACAGCATCATTTTCACATGGAAGGACAGATGTGTGCTTGTTAAAAACTAATTATTTCCATCTATGGATGAATAGACATGAATGGATAAACAAAATATGATATATACATACAATGGAATATTACTCAGCCTTAAAAAGGAATGAAATTCTGGGGCTGGCCCCGTGGCCGAGTGGTTAAGTTCGCACGCTCTGCTGCAGGCGGCCCAGCGTTTTGTTGGTTCCAATCCTGGGCACGGACATGGCACTGCTCATCAAACCACGCTGAGGCAGCGTCCCACATGCCACAACTAGAAAGACCCACAACGAAGAATATACAACTATGTACTGGGGGGCTTTGGGGAGAAAAAGGAAAAAAATAAAATCTGTAAAAAAAAAAAAGGGAATGAAATTCTGACACATGCTACAACATGGATGAAACTTGAAGTCATTATGTTAAGTGAAATAAGCCAGACACAAAAGGACAAACAGTGTATGATTCCACGTATATGAGGCCCCCGGAATAGTCAAATACATAAGACAGTAGAACAGTGGTCACCAGAGGCTGAGAGGAAGGGAGAATGGGGAGCTATTGTTAAAGGGCAGAGTTTCAGTTTGGGAGGATAGAAATTTTCTGGAGCTGGATAGTGGTGATGGTTGTACAACAATGTGAATGTACTTGAGGACACTGAACTGTACACTTACAGTTCATGGTTAAACTGTTAAATCTTATGATGTTATGTATACTTAACCACAATAAAAACATTTTTTATAGGTAATGACTCTGGAGTTGTTGATCAAGAAATAGAGCCTAAGTTTCTCAGTAAATGTGGCTTAATATGGCCCAGCTATTAAAGCAAAAGATAAATGTATAAACCTAGGGGTCTAAATAGGCCAGGAACCTAGGAAAGTTGAGTTGGTACAATTTAGGTGCAGTGTCTTAATTATTTCTGAGCAATAGTTGTCTCAGTCGTATATAGTAGCAGCAGTTTAGTAACCTCTATTTCTGACACAATGGTGCTGTGATGGGCCAGAGGAACCTTCTGGCCAAGAGTGGCATGTCCCGGGCTGGCATATGAAGTTGCTGGCCATGCCCAGGACCTCATCTAGTTAAACCATAAAGCAAATGAAGTCTGGTTCCCAGTTCTCTTTCTGTGCTCCTCTTCCATCTGCCGAAATCGTATTTCCCCTTCCCACTGGGCAGTAAGTGCTTTCAGTACTGAAGTTTTGAGGCCCTAATCCTCTTGCCATCAATTACCCATCCCACTCCCAGGCTTGCCATCCAGGAAGCCAGCCAGAATTATCCCTACTTTCACCTCTTGCTCTATCCCATCAAACCTTCCAGTGATCTAATAACAGGTTTTCAAAGGGGTTGTGGACTATGGAAAGAAACACTATCTACTATAAAACATACAGTGATTTGTAAAAAGATTAAATTGTGGAAAAAATGTATTGATTCCGTCTATCACTTAAGAAGAGAACAAATTCATACTAAGATGTAAATGACTGAAGGGCTTACTGGCAGAAGGGGGCAACTCTTTAGGCCAGTACTACAGCTGTCATTTCTTGTGCTTGGCCACTCTGGGTCCAGTGCATCATTGTTTTTTTTCAGGCATTGAGGTCAGAGAGGAATTTTATTAGACCTTGGCAATCCGCAGTTCCTAGCTCTACCACAATCAACCAAACCTACACAAATGTCACTAGAAAGCCAACAGGAAACCATTGCTTCTGCTGTCTATATGCTTCACCAAGATAAGCCTTGTCAATAGGATTATTCCTTTTTTCACATATAGAGAAACATAATCAGGTTCCTGATCAATGTGGCCTCCCAGGACTTGTTTGTCATATAAATAAAAATTATACCAAAATGGCATTCCGCTGACACATTTGCTTGGACCAAAACTGCTCTATTAAAGAAACGATTCTAGTTTTGTAAAAATATTTGTATAAGGTGCTTCTAGTTAGGAGAGAATCCACCTTAAACACACTTCTCTATAAAGTGGCTCTTATTTGACTTTCCGGGGAGGAGTGTACGTTTTGAAGCGTCAGAAGGCACTGTGATACAACAGTTCCATCCTGAAGACGGCCCCATATCAGCCCCCGAAGATGGTATTAAGCTTCACTTTATGGTGGGTGCAAAATAGTGAACAACAGCAAGTCAACTTTTCTAAAATACAAAACTATTCTGTGGCAGCCACAAGGGCATCACTTTTGTTCTCTTCTTTTTACTCCTACTGCATTTTCCATTAATGTCCATTCATTAACCAATATCTGTTTGTTGCTGTTGAAGGCACAGCTCCCCCCCCCCCGACTTTTATTCAGATATAATTGCTATATATCACCATATAAGTTTAAGGTGTACAGCATAATGGTTTGCCTTACATATACTGTGAAATGATTACGGAAATAAGTTTAGTCAGCATCCATCATCTCATATAGATGCAATAAAAAGAAAAAAAAAAAAAGAAAAAAATTTTTCTCCTTGCGATAACTCGTAGGATCTACTCTCTTTGCAACTTTCCTATGTATCGTGTAGCAGGCGTTAAGTAGGCATCATGTTGTACCTTACGTCCCTGGGACTTCTTTATCTTATAGCTGGAAGTTTGGTACCACAGCTTTGAATTCTGGAACGCTGCTGAATTTCTAGCCTTTCCCATATCACTAGTGCTATGCACTAAATCGAGTCCTCATGCCCCCATTTGATCTCTCGAAGCACGCCCTAACACCCTGTGTGACCGTCTCAGGAGATGAGCTTTATGAGGTGATGAAGGTTAAATGAGGTCATAAAGGTGGATAACCTGACCTCATGGCCTTATAAGAAGAGGAAATAGCACTTAAGGCCACACTGAGAAGGTGGCCATCGGCAAGGCAAGAAGAGGGTCCTCGCGGAAACCAACCACGCCGTGTGAGAAAATAAATCTCCTGCGTGTGAGCCACCCAGCCGATGTTATTTTGTTACTGCAACCGGAGCTGACTAATACAACTAGTTTTGCACTCTTCATTAGCTTCTCTTGAGTCTTGGATGAGGAATGAAAGCTGGGCTCTCCCCTGCTGAGCATTTAAGAAACACAGGCTGGTTCAAATCTGATGCTGGTTCAAATCTCAGGCCTTGGAGGAAACCCTTTAGAGGGAAGAGCCAACGCAGCTCCCTCCAGTGAGGATGTGAAGGTCGCTTCTGCAAGCTGGGTTTCTAAACCAGCATCTAACAGAAAGATGCCTTCTCCCTTATCAATCCTACTCCGTCTAGCCCAGGACTGTGGAACCCTTAAGAGCATGGAGTCAGGCAGACCTGGCATCTATAGCTGTGCAGCTTCGGCGACTTTCTGAACTTCCAGAAGCTTGTTTTACCATCCATAAAATAGATTGTTGTGAGGAGTAAATCACATAATAATAAACGCACATGGTAGGTACCAAGGAAGTGGTGTTGCTCTGTGTCTGTTATTAGGTGCTGCAGAGGCTGGGGGCTCTCTCCTTGGGTGCGGAGCAGCGATTCGCTCTGGCCTTGCAGCTGTGCCCTCCTCCCGAGATCCTCATGCAGGTTAGCAAGTCCAGATAGCACGCCGCAAGGAGCCGTGACCCCTTTAGCCCCGAAGAGGGAGTGACGCTCAGAGGGGGCAAGGACCTCGAGTCTTTCCAAAGAGCTCAAGCTTCCGCTCCCCAAAGCAGAGTAAAGGCCATGGTGCAAGAAGCCATTTTGCTGCTGCAGGCTTGGGACTTGACTAATCCCAGAGCTGGGAGAAGCGGTCTAGTCCAGGCCAGGCTCATCCATGTGCTCGTGTCAGTTTCAGACAAAATGACTTCAGAGCAAGGGTTAGTATCTAACTGAGCGGGGTGAGAACTCCCCTTTGAGGTACCCACTAAGGGAAAGGGAGAACCTGATAATTAACCAGGATGACTTTGGTTCTCTCTCGAGGAGTGACCTAGACGGCCATGTCAGGTTCTCCACGGTTCCCTCTCCAGGGTTGCAGCCTGGCCTCCGGCTTTCAGACAAGTTGCACCAGGCCAAGAGACTGCAGGAGCCTCGGGGTGCGCCGGGTGCGCAAGGAGCCCTCTGGGTGCCCAGGGACGGGACGGAGGACACGGGGGCAGGCGGGGATCGGAGGCCGCGATCGGAGGCGGCGGGGCGCCCGCGGGCTGCGCAGGCCTGAGGCTGTGAAAGAGCAGCAGCTGCCCCGGCTCGGCAGCCGCCGCCCCACACACGCGGGATCACAGGGGAGCTGACGTTTCATTTACCGACTGAGCGGCTCTGAAAAATGTCCCGGCCGCCAGTTACGGCGGGGGAGGGGCAGGGTGCCTGGGGGCTGCTGCGCGCGCCGGGGGTGGGATGTGCAGGGGGTGCGGGCTGCGCTAGGGGGCTGCGCGGCTGGGGGGCGGTGTTGCACGCGGGGGCTGCGAGGAGGGGTGCTGTGCTGGGGCCGGTTGCGCTGGGGGAGCTGCGCCGGCGGGGGGGGGGGGTGAGGGGGGCGCTCCGTGGGGGGGCGGGTGCACCGGAAGGGCTGCGCAGGGGGGCGTGCTGCGCGGGGGCTGGGGGCCACGCTGCGCCGGAGGGACGGTGTGGGGGACCTGGGCGGGCGGGGGGCTCCGCGGGGGGCGGTGCGCTGGGGGACCTGCGCTGGGGGCGGGCTGCGCCTGAGCGGCCGTGGGGTCAGAAGGGCCGCCGCAGGGCCGGAGGTGTCCCCTCGTCCCCCTGCCACCTGGGAAAGGCCGGCCCCGCCGCGGCCACGCGCCGACCCCGGGGCCGAGCTGCGAAGGGACAGCTGTCCTCCGGTGGGCCCCGTGGTTCAAGCGCCAGTCATTTCTCAGGACCTTTTTCTTTTTCTTTCTCTTTTTTTCCAGGAATGTGCCACTGGCATTTGAGAGTACAAAAGAAAAAAAACATTCACAAATGAGGCTTGGTTTTCTCTCTGGCCCGGCCCCTGGGTCCCTGGACTTGCCGCCAGAGAAGACCCCCACCTGCCCCGAGGTCCCCAGGATCCCAGCCGGCGTTTGCTGCCCGGCGGGCTGTGCTCCGAGCGCCCCGCTTGCAGGGGCTCAGTTTTCCCAGTTGGCGACAGTGTTTGCACCTGCAGCTTCGTTGATTCGTACTACAACTGGAACTTTAATAAGGGAACACCACATCCCACCAGTCACTCTGCACGAAGGCAGGAGCGCCCTAATCGCCAGATCAGTTCGCCTGTTTACCAGGCACCTGACAGGAAGGTGGGGGGGCAGGGTGGAGAGGACAATGGCCTGCGTGTCAGGAGCCCGGGTTGTTTCCAGCCTCACCGCAGCCTGCCCCACCTTTCCTCGCTGCGCCTCCCTCTCCATGGAGAGACCTGGATAAAGCCGTCCGCGCGAGCGCGCCGGGAGGATTGCGGAGACGGTGTCTGTGCGCAGCTCCGGGGCTCTGCAACCTTGCCGAGCTTGTTATCATCACCACCGTTCTCACTGCTGTTAATCCTGACTTCCCCTCCCTGTCTGTTTTGGCATCTACATAACCCAAGTGTTTGTGCATGTGCCTGCGTGCTTGTGTGTGTGTTCGGGGAGGTGGGGTGGCATTTTGTTCGGAATAAAAGTCAACCCCTATTCCAAGCTGGAAACCCCCTAAAGCTTGACAGATGAAGGTAATGTCTTGGTTTCAACTCGGCTGCTCCATGTTTCACGTTTTTCTATCTTTCTGTGCCACGTTAATTTTCAGAAGACTTCGCTGAAGGATCAAGGGCATCCAAATGAGATTTAAGGGTTTTTTTTTTTTTTTTGGTTTGTTTGCTTACCCGTATCCAAATGGATAGGTCTGTGTTTTAAAATTTGTAGGAGACTTGAGTAGAATATGATGTAAGAGATAAATAATTGCACTGAGTGAAGCTAACAGTTCACTGGACACGGCCTTGTTCGTTGTGGACGACAAGGAGTTAACCGATTCTCTCTGTCCCGTGGTAAAAGTTTAGTGTGGGACTGGGGACAATGAGACCCTCTGTGCAGACCGTATCCACTGAGCCTGGGAGAGGCTCTGGCAGGGCGTCAGTGGCTACCTTGCCTTCAGTGCCCACTCCTGTAACCGGGTGCCCTCTCGCCCACCCACACTGCAAAGCTCCCACGTCAGAGCCCTGAGGGGTGACATAGAAACTTCTGGGCTCATAATACCTTTAGTGTATTTTCTTCCTGTGGCCTATGTGACTGATGCTTGCAATTTTTTTTTTTTCATATACAGCCTGGTGTCTGTTAATGACAGATACTGCTTCACTTCTGATAAAAACTTTGTGCTCTAAAAACTTAGGCTAAAAGGGCTGTTGACGTGTGTGCAGGATTTTACTCTCCTAAAAACCAGATCGATCAACTTAATGCCTTCTGTGTGTCAGGTGGAATTATAGACACCTGACAAGAAATACGTATTTCCTTTCACTTTATTACATGTTCTCGAGGTGCTATGTGATTGGCAGTAACTTTAATTTTTAAAAAGTCTAAATTGGGTTTAGATCCCTGAATTCCAAGTGTCAGAGACAGGCACCCCGAAGCATCCAGTCCATGAACTCGACTGATAAAGCTCTATCCTTTCTTTCTTTCTCCCTCAGCCCTTCTGTTTATGGAAACTAATCATTTAGGGAAGTCCCTAAATATAGTGTTGTCATGGACAGGCACCACTCTGTCCTTAGCATTTGACTTAGAAAAAACTACTCAATCAAAATTTAAGGTAAGTGTTACTGGCCTTGCCTAAGTCGCTTCATTCCTGTATTCCCATTAATAAATGCAAGAAAGCAAGACTTGTCAAAAGACTGCCGGGAGGTGAAGAGGACGAACTGGCTTTTGTTCTTTCATAAGGAAATGCTATGAGGTGGTAACGCCTTATTCAGACACTGACTCCAACCTCAACTCAGACACACGACCATCAAATTAGGAAGCTTTAAAAAATAAAAAAGCCCAAGAAGGCCACGCACTAAAGGTTAGATCCCTTACCTTTAGGAGGTTTCCACAGACTTCCACTCAGAGCCTATTTGCCTTTTCTTGAGGCACAATTCTAACGGTATTGGCTTTTTGTTACCCACCCTACAGTAGACAATCAGAATGGGGAAGATAAGATACTGACTGTAATGGAGGCCTGAGCAAAAGTTCAAGACCCGAAAAAGAAGTGGCAGGTATTTTAAAAAACAAATAGTCATTTGAGTCTTTGGGAGCATGAGAAGACTTTTCTTTGTAGCACAGAAGATCTGGAGGTCATCAATATGTATCAGTATAAATAACAATCATTATGAACTATAATCATTAAGACAAGGTGAAATGATGCTTATTGGACTCTCTTTAGAAAGACAAGGAAGTAGATAGTCATTTTTATAAAGATTTTGATTTAAAATTGAAAGTTTTAGCACTTATGGGAATAAGCTTCAGTCCGTCGTGAAATATATGAGTAGAATTCCTCATTCCTCATGAATTTAGACAAATGAAGTGTTGTAATAGGAAAAACTAATAGCACCTTAGTTTTACATGTTATTCCAATGGATGCCCTCCAGTTAAACTTCAGACTACAAGGCGTGGTTGGTTCAGTGTAGATTGCAGGAAAGATTATCATCTACTAAGTAATTCAGCTCACATCCTTTTTTCCTCTGGTTTTCCATCCAAGAAGTGTCAAGGCCTGGTTTTGCTTAGTTTGTGAGATCCCAAAGCAGAGGAGGTTGGCTAAAGACCATGAGTTCTAGGCATGTTTGATTTGGGTCACCAAGTTGTCTGTGTAAGTCATTAAGGGTTGAGAGGCAGCTTGATAAAATTACAGAAAATCTCTGGGAAACTCAAATTAAGAACCGACCACAAGAATTATATGGAAAGTTACACTCGAGGTGCACAGAGCTCATCAGACCACTATTGGTTATGGTCCAACAAATATGAAAACAGACTGTCTGGGTTTCTCTAGAGAGCACAAAAATAAGGAAACAAGATTAGAAGAACTTGGTTATTCCTGAGACATACAAAGAGGAAAAGAATCTACATGAGTGGAAATACAGATTTGGAAATGAAATTTGGAGGTTAAGATTTCATTTGGCTTTGCTCAGTTGATTGATTCTAGTATTTGAGTTTGCAAAAACCCAGAAAAGTTTTCATTTGACAGCTAATTTAAAAGGGAATAAAAAAGCTCCTAGCTCACCTGGAGCAATAATCACCAAGCTGCATTCATAGATTTGGTAATGCCAAGGATTTCCTTGCTTTAAGAAACGATGCTGCAAGCACAATATGTACTCACTAGAAAAAGAATTTGGTGCTTTCCTTCTAGTAGATGATGTCTGTTTCAAAACACACTCAAAACATCTCTTTTCTCCAGTACTACAGTTGAACCTGTTTCTCTGCATTGGTAATTGGCGGGTATCACATTTGCTGGGCACCAGCCCACTTGTAGGTGCTTGTCTAAGTTGCCTCGGTTAATACTCACAATATCCAATGAGAAAGGTATTTATTCTCTTCTTTTTTTAGATGAGGAAGCTAAAGCTTAAAGATGTAAGGTAGCTTATGCACATGGGCAGTAAAGTTGATGGAGTTAGTCTTCAAAGCCAGGTCTGCATCTTTCTAAGATGCTAAGATTTCTAAGGTGCTCCTTCATCTGCCTTCTCGAAAGAATGAGACTCCATTTGCTCGTACAGGCTGGTTCATTCCAAGGTCTGGATGCACACAAGTCTTCAGGCGTCTAGAAATTTATGGAATATATTTTGAGCCTCTGGATATTAGCGAAGCTCAGAAAGGTGGAATTCTTTTTCCCCTTTTTTCTACGAAGATTCAAACTTTTCAAAGTAAATATCGATCTAGAAAATGAATTGGGTGTCTGCCTCTCGTTTATTATTGCTGGGTTGCTTAAAATACAGTTGGAGTTGCCTGATGAACAGAAGTACAAGTTAAGAATTGTGAGTGTGTTCTTTCTGGAACTCAAAGAGAAGGGGAATAGTCCTGCGTAATTGGATGAGGGCAGGCCTGCTGGTGTATTCTGACACAGAAAAAGGATTTAGAGTCTTTTGTAGTTGTGTACTTTCCACCCCTTTGTTTAGAGGTTTGAGAAATTCTGAGAGGTACAGTAAAGTAATAACAGAAAGTTTAAGTTTGTTAAAAAGAAAATTAGGAAGCACTTAACCCCTGGTGTCAAATTTCCTTTTATAAAAAAGGAAAATCTACATTCCCCATGATTTCTTCCCAGATGATAGGGCTTATTCCTCAATGAGCTAATGTTTTAACAATCGTACTTCCAAGATACATAGGACTGCTGTTATCTTCCCGCCTTCCTTCTCCTTCCAGCATGTGGTGAGGAGGAGAGAGCAATCAGAAAAGAGCTTAAAAGTTTTATTTAATACAATTTTCATATTTTTAAAAATTCCGTAGTGTTAAAACCTCAAGAGTCAGCATAAAACGCACATGAAAAAGTAAATTTTGAAAAGCCTTCTTTGAAATAGGAGAATTTCTGGTTGGCTTGAGTTCTGGGCTCCAGGTTTCCCAGTATGCAGCAAAGAGTCCTGCCGAAGGCAGGTGCTCTGGGCCAGGTGGCATCTTTCTGTGTGAAAGTCAAGTGTCTTAATTAGCAGGATGAGATGACTTACATATCTCGGTATTCAAACGTGCATCTTGTAGTTGAACATTCCAGAATATCTTTACCTGGGAAATATTCTTGAAGAAATCAAGAAAGGTCCCTCTCCATTCGTCTCACGTTTTCCCTTCAAGAGCAAAAGGGAGTAGGGGTTAGGACACAGGGCCCGTAAGCTTAACAGACAATTTTTGGTAGCCAGCTGTGAGGTGACTTTCTAGAAAACTGTAGCCAGGGAACAGCCAATTACAGAAGTTGTTGGCCTCGGGGCAGAAGGATCCCACTGAGTTTACTCTGGAGGAGCCTCTGAAGGTTAGGGAGTTAGAATTTAATTTGGAAACAGATTCAAACATGCGAGCATGTTTTCACTTCTTAGTTCCCCTAAATCATCAAGTTGGAGTGCCCAGGACTCAGTCCTTACACCTATTATCTTTTTGCTGACACTTACTCCCCAAGTGATCTCATATGGCCTCGTGACTTTACTCGCAAACTTGGATTTCTAGCCTGAACCCTTCCGGAATACCAGACTCAAATAGATAGCCATTTATTCAATAACGACTCCGCTATAATGTCTAGTCAGCATTGCAAAACTTAATCTCTCCTGAAACTAACTTCTGATCCCCTTCACCTCCAACCTCCCACAGCCTTCTGTCCCCACTTCATTTGGCCCCTTGCTCTGGTCAAAGATCTTGGAATCACCCTTGACCTCTCTCTTTCTTGTATACCCTGGTTCCGATTTCATAGTAAATCCTTTGGGCTCTGCCTTCAAAACATATCCAGAATCCAACCACTCCTCCCCACCTGGCCCAGTCTGCCATCTTCTCTCACCCAAATTACTCAGTAGCTTCCTAAGTGAGTTCCCTGCTTCTACCTTAGCTCCCTTACAGACTTTTCTCCACAGAGAAGCCAGAGTGATAATTTAAAAACCAAAGTCAAATCGAGTCATTCCTCTGCCGAGGAGTCACTCAGAGGAAGCACTGAAGTCCCTAGAATGGCCTGCAAAGCCCCGCCCCATCTGCCCTGTCGGCCACTCCCTTAGCTCCCAAACCTCACTCCTACTCTTTTCTCATTCA